CACTTATCTAGACCATTCATCTGAGAAAGTTTGAGGAATTTGATTTTTTCTGGTCCAAATGGCCATAGTTGAAAATTACAGAGGGCACCTCTTAAAACTCCCGAGCGTCGCTGTCCGTTTACGTTTCGTTCTCGCTCGAGTCTTCAGTAAAACCTTCAGTAAAAAGCCTTTAAAACTCCCGAGCGTCGCTGTCCGTTTACGTTTCGTTCTCGCTCGAGTCTCTCACTTCCGTTAAAACACTGCACTGTGCACATACAGATGCACTCGCCGCGAGAAAAATCTTTTCCTCTCTCGCATTTAACTCTACGATCCAGAAGGAGTTCGAAAGAGATGCTCGGCTCGCTCGCTACTCCTTTCGAGAGTCAAATTTCAAAAAACCGACATTTCAGGAAAGTATATGTTTCTTCCACTCAAAATAAGTTCACTCTTTTGGCTGTCGTTAGGCAAATGTTTCGGTCTGTATGAAACAAAGTCAGTGAATCATAAAAGGGAGTACAATATGAAAACGTACAATTCATAGATACCTTTGTGAGTCGCTGAAGTCAATTTTCCGCGTGGCCGCGAAATTGTCGGAGGCAGAGCAGATAATTTCCTCGCTTCTTGCAGCCATCGAGAGAACGGCCAGTACTGATGCTAAGAGCACACTTTTAGTTTTATTAAGAAGTCCGACTGCGTAAGTCCGAACGCTGGTTCAAAACACAAAACTACATGACGTGATGTCTAGTTTTAAACCGAAAGCGAGGAAGTCTTAACAGTATCCTGGAAACGGTGACAGCATATCTAAATGGCACATGTGATGTATCGGACGTGCTCCGAATAATTTAAGCCTACCATAAGCTATTCAAATGGGCTGTTGTTATTGAATGGTAAGGATGAAGACAATGTATAATTTACATAGCCAAAAAAAATATCACCGAAATGACAGCTCAAACTTTCAACGTGAGCACGAGAGGTGCGAATAATAAAATAGCCTTAAAATCGTTTAAAGCAACCATAAAAGTACAGTGGAATGAACACAGTTTCACCAAATGCATTGAGAGCCTTACGTTCACTTGATTATTGTTTAAAAAAGCTGACCTTGAATCATTTCCATGAAAACTAAAAGAATAACAGCCCCAAGTTACAAGGCGCTTGGGCCAGCCTTCGTGCAAACAAAACAAGACAACACATGCTTCCTGACTTGAATACCAAAATAAGCTGGTTCTGAATCCTCCATACCAAATTTCGCGGTGTAAATAGGTAAGGAAAATGTTTCATTTTGTTAAAAGTTAGCATCATTTGTTGTCACTGAGCTTTAAGCCGGTGCATTATTTCTGTCGTCGTTGTCCTTGCGACACGTTTTCATTTGATCAAATTACGTTCTTCACTGACCGGGAACTGCCATTCTTAAGGAAGTAAGCGTAAGAGCAATTTTAAACAGGATGTTCTTACAGGAATCGAAAATATATTGTTGTGTTGTTATTTATTTATTTATTTTTGTATCAATTTATTTATTTTTTATCTGCATATGGAGCCAAAGAACTATACTCTGATCGATAGTATTGAAGCCATCTTCGTGAGTAACTGTGATTTTTATTTTTTTATTTTTTTAACACAATCCGGTTTAATTCAAGGTAACATTTCCAGCGCTATATTGGTAATGTGGCGTTATGTAATCGAGTGTGTGACGTTATGTAATCGAGAGAAAGACGTCATCGATTGACATATGTTTTTGTACTGCACGTGTTTACAGTCGGCCGATTATTGTATGAATGTATGTGTTCATTTTCGGTTGGATTATTTACTGTTTCCAGCACAATAAAGGGCAATTCGCTGTTTAAAGAGAACAACAGTAACAACGACAATTATGGGGAAAATATAAATAACTTCCTTTCCTTGATTCAGCTTAGCACAGGAGAAGGTTTGCGAAAACTTGAGACAGCTGGGAAAACCAAGTCTAGGTCTCTCGTTCTTTGCATATTTGTGTAATGATAGCTGTATCAAAACACAAAAATTGTTTGGGAATAGCGCAGTCACCATTTTTTTAAAAGGTCAATCGTCTTCCCATTTTGAAAAGGAATGATTTTCCGACAGTTGATATTAGTTACCATCTAGGCTCGATTTCCGCCACTTTCTTGCGTCGGATCTGTTCCTCCCCGAACTCGAGCCTAGTTACCACCTAACTAACTCTGCATTAACGCGAACGAAATTGCACAACTGCAAGTTCGGGGAATCGAAAAAAGCTATATATAAGGGATTTTCCCAGTAGCCCAATACTGCTGAAAGTTTTCCAGTCTTTTGGTGATTTTGCTCTTAATTTTCCTGCATTTAAAGATTCTTGTCATAAAGATTCCCCGTTCCTCGTTCCCCGTTCTCTGTTCCATAATCCTTATTCCAATTTTGGACATTTGGCCGTTTGTTTGACGTAGGTCACGCAATGTAAACGCTACTCGTACAACTCAGGATTTAGATCCACCAAGCTATGAATTGACTATTTATCGCTTTTCTAAGGTCAGTACAAGGATGCTGCACCCTCAACGAATCGATTCGTTAAATAAGAAGATAACTTCCGCTGATCTGGGTAAGCTAACCTTAAGTTATTTCTCATTTTCATGATTGAAGTGTTTCAGGTTACCGAATTTTATACAAAGGGCGTCTGATAATTCGTCGGTGTTTAAATACGAGCAAAGAGACGGATGATCCGTCCAGATTTATAATGTTCCATGACAGAAGAACTACAGTAGTTCGCCTGGACGGATGATCCGTCTGTTTGATCGAATTATCAGACGAGGCTCAAGTTCGCGTTCGTCCAACTCTGGAATAATTTCTGCCATTGTTTGTATACTTTATGATTCAGGTTTGGTTTTGATGACGTGACTGTGAACGCCAAAAATGTATTAAATAAGCAAACCAAGATTGTTGTTCTACTACAGCTACTTCTTATTTTGCTGTTTCGAAAGATAAAGCTTAGGGTGGCAAGTAACAACACGTGCACAGAGTTTGTCGCTTTGCCGGTTACTACGTCACAACAATTATTTCGCAGTTTTCACAATTATTTGATAAGTCAACCTTATTTAAGCTTAACGGAAAGCTAGTTTACCTCGGGAAAGTTCATGTAATATAATTTAGTCGGTTATCTCTCTATGCTCAAAACCAAGGGGAGATATGATGCATTCAGCTACCCAATGAGTGTAGCTGCTTTATTATTCAACCATGAAGTGCTGTATGTTTTGGCATGGTTTGATTGGTTCTTAGTTTTTGACTTGCTCCGGAAGAACACAATACGGCAGGAATATAGGCATAACATTGCGAATTTTTCAAGTCGATGATTTTGGCGAGAATAGTGTCAACCGGTTTGAACAAGGCTACCGAAATAAACTGTATAAACGAATTGATAAAACGTTACGTTTTGGTCGGTGTTCAGTGAGAAACTGACACCAAGATGACCTAATCCTAAAAAGAGTTGGTTCACAATAGATATGCTACATAATTGCAAGTAAACGATGTATATATTCGGAAAGTCAGTTGTTTCCGCGTTAAGTAGTGCCGCTTAATTGTTTAGTTTTACAGTTAGCTCGTTTAGAGAGCGCTTGTGACGGTAACTGTTGGCCTATTTCCCTTAAAGGTTATGAGGAAGTTTCTAGCTAATAGTTAGATAACGTTAACGAGGGTTGCTTTTTTAAATTTCTTTACTGAAGAAAGTCATTAGTAGTAATTCAAAACGAAAAATTTCCTCGAACTGGAGCAATGATTATTCTAGGACGGGAAAATAACGGAGTATATTGACTTCTGTGATCACTAACAGTGGAACTCTTTTAGCGAATGGATTCCTCTTCCTTGAAAAGGCAGCTGAAAGTTCCTTTGGGAGACGGTTAAAACTGAACTTTGAATTCTTAGAAATTATCATGACAAAAATTGTACATACCCTGGTTGGCTAGAATCCTTTTGTTCGGTTGCTCCTTTCAACTTGGCCATGACAGAACGCGAATAAACTTACACACTTAACTTCGGTGCTACGAAAAAGATACTTTGGTGCAATTTCTCATTACGGGTCGTTTAAGTATTTACGACTAAACACTTGATACGTGTTGGCTTAAACGGGGTCATCTCAGCCACAAGGGAAGTTGTAAGGAGTAAAATAGCATTTCATTTCCGCATGCTAAAAACGAATTATTATTGATTTATTAACGAGTTTTCACTGGTTAAAATACGTTAAAAGACAAACGACAAAATTAGCAGACCCGAAAAGCCTAAAAAAACGAGAAAAAACAGGGCTGGAAGGTCTCGAAGGTTTGTTTACCAGATTCGCCGAACAATTTGGTTTTGTCAGAGAGTAAAAATTTTCAGGAAGCTACACTACATATCAGGTATCACAAAACGCATCAGGAAATTTGTCTAAACGTTATGCAATCATGCTATTTCATGTGAGCCGTCACATGAAGTAGTCATCAATCGTGTGGTAGTTAAAAAAAAGTCAATGAGTGCGTGGCAGTCAACAGTGGAGGACCCAGACCTTGAGCTAAAGGGGGAGGGGAGGGCGGTTTTGTTTTGCTCTCCCTGCTTGTTTTTTTTTTTTTTTCCTTCTGTGATTTCTTCTTTTTTTACCCAAAATAAGGGCAGGGGGGCCGGGCCCCCTCCCCTAGATTCGCCACTGGCCAATCCCTTTACGTCCCAAATAACCCCGCGTGACACACGTATCGTGACACATTTGACATGCCACAATGAACGTGACAGAAGTACCTGGCCGGTACATATTTACTTCCAGTATTTTCAGAAAAGTCGATCAATTTCTTTTTTCTTTAACCTGGTGGTATGATTCCAAGCATTTTCCATCGGCCGTGTTTACCCTAGAAAACGAATAAGGCGTCTCAGATGGGCGGATCCACAGTCCAAATAAGTTTTGTCTGTTTCATGCGTCTCGTATTTAGTAGAACGGAGTACATGTCTCAGACGCACATTCGAAATGGAAATCCAGAATTGCTCTCGCATCCATATGATTTCCGACAGGGAAACTTGCTTTACTAGGCATTGACTCGAAAACAAATGTCCAAGAGATTAGTTTCTAAAGCAACTGTTGGCCGCCTCGGTGGACTTATCTGAGATTAATCAAGCGCTGTAACGAAATTCTTCTTGCCCCTCCGATGGGCATCAATTCAACATGGTAGCCATAAAATAACAGAAACATCTCTCTTTGAGTTTCGTTATTTAAACGAAAAGTCATTACTCTAGGGCTCCGACACATTGAAATTAATACTTCTTCTAGAGCACGAACTGTTCAGTTAGCGAAAACTTGATCGATAACTCATCTTTTGACCTAAGCGAGAGCCCTCTCGGGCCGCCATTTTAATGTCACGCGTCGGGCTCTATAATGAAATCAAGAACGTCAAGTTAATAGAGGGTCTTACATAAAACTTCGGAAGGATTAGCAATTTTTAATTTTCGAAAATAATGACGTCACATGAAAATCGGCAATAACCAGGAAATCGTGCACCGCTCAGTCAGTTCCAGGCATGTTTTACCTTCTCGTCAAGATATACGTAGAATTTCTTCTTATTGCCACTCATGGAAACGGTTTCTTACCGTGTTCATTTATTTATAGAGAAATGCTAAAAATGCTTAAGTCTCATTTCGTGTCTTGTCGATAACCTCAGCAATGCGGATACTTCGAAGGTATTACCAAAAGCTCTTAATTACCATAAGTATGTTTTCATTGAGTGCTGAAACGGAAATTTTTCTTTTCTAATCGCAGAGTGAAATAATGTTGGGATGTTACGCCCATTTACGTTGGCTCCTGTTTTAAATTTCACTTCTTGAATCGATAAGTGGTGTGCGGCTTACGACCGCGGTGCATTGATTTTGACAAATTTTCAAGATGGCGGCTTTTATATCGTGACGGTCGTTCCAGGAGCTAAATTGATTTTGTCGCTGTTTTTAATGTTATGCAAAAACAAAACAACAACATTCCTAGATTTTTGCTCAGTTTTTCTCGTCCTGTGCTTTTGAGGAATGACGACGCCACTGAAGCTGAAATAGCTTGTGATTTGAACGTTTTCATTTTCCGGGAATTTTACCTGCATGTATTGCCAGTTTTTATGTGACGTCATCATTTTCCAAAATTGAAAATTACCAGTATTTCTGAAGTTTTAGTTTCGTCAAATGTAAGACCCTCTAACAACTGGACGTTTTACAACGTTTAAGCTCGACAGGGTTTTTCATTTTTTAATGGAGCACGTTTGAATTTCCAAGTTTGTGTGTTTGCGTGACATTAAATGGAGACCCGAGAAGGCGCTCATGCAGGCCAATTAATCAGTTATCGCTTAAGTTTTTGCTACCTGAACAGTTCTTGCACTAGAAGAAGTATTGATTTCAATATATCGGAGATCCAGAGTTATAAATTTTCGTTCAAATAGCAAATCTCAATGACAGATGTTTCTGTTACTTTACGGTCGCCATGTTGGTGCCCTCGCAGGGACACCAACATGGCGTCTCCAAACAATTCTCCGAATAACGCGCGAATGAAAACCCGCACAGGCCTTAATTTTGGCGAGGCTGTTTATATATCACTCATTTATCATATACCAGATTCTTGACTTACTTCAGTATTTTATTGAATAGGTACGATTTTCATTTTGATGGCGTGACAGTGTAAACCAGCAATTAGTACGTTGTGTTTATTGTAATAAGTGGCAATTGTGATAACGGTTTATTCGTTTACATATACACAAATGATTCAAATGCTAAAGCCACTTTCCTCGTTTCATCGTTTTTAGACGATCTTGTTAACAAATATATGCAAAAACTTTGAATTTATTTTAGTGGCTCCTTATTACCACGAGTATGTGTGCACTGAGTTTTCTCTTGTAACCGCATAGTAAGGCAATCCTGAGATCGCACGTCTATTTGCGCTTGCTGCTGTGTTAGAATCCACTTCCTTAGTCGACAAAGTCTTGGTATTTTCCGAAAAAACCAAAGTATTATTATGGTTGACTGAGTTACAACGGTTGCTAAACTGATCACATTTCAAGCGAGACGCGAGGCTGTTTGTGCATTTTTTGTTCCCGTAATGGTTCCCCTGTCTTACAGTAAGGTGAAACTGTGTTTTTTCTTCAATGCAAAGTCCGTGCAAGTTCTTCTCCCCACCATAAAACTCATTTTGCTTAAAGAATATTGTTTCTAAATTGTTCCGCATTTGGGAGAGATAATTGACCCGCACTTGTTTACAATGTAAGTTACCGTCCTATGTACACGGTCTTGAATATAGAAGTTTTGGTAATTTATACCTTTTAGACATAGCCGTCACTGGAACCAAAACATTTGGCGGTAAATTAAACGTTGAATAAAACATCGAGTGCGCCCATTTACGTTGGCTGCTGTTTGAGATTGCACTTGAGTCGATAAGTGGTGTGCGGCCTTCGACCACGGTGCATTGGTTTTGACAATTTTTCAAGATGGCGGTCCTTACATCGGGAAGCGGCGCTCCAAAAGCTTAGTTGATTTTGTCGCTGTTTTAAATTTTATAGGAAAACAAAACAACAGCATTCCATAATTTTTGGTCAAATTTCTTCGTCCTGTGCTCCCGAGGATTGAAGACGCTATCGAAGCTGAAATAGCTTGTGATTTGAAGGTTTTCATTTTCAGGGATGTTTCATCTATAAGTACGTTGTGTTTATTGGGTAATAAGTGGCAGTTGTGATAACGGTTTATTCGTTTACACGCAAATGATTCAAATGCTAAAGCCACCTGCCTCGTTTCATCTTTTATTGTCGATCTTGAGAAAAACACAAGCGAGAACTTTGAATCTATTTTAATGGCTCGTATTTACCATGAGTATGTGTTCATTGATTGCTCAAACGGAATCTTTTCTCTCGTAACCGCAAAGTAAAACAATGATGAGTTCTTACGTCTCTTTGCGTGTGCTGCTGTCTTTGATTGTACGTACTACAATGTTAACGTGTGCTGCTGTTTTCTTAACTGTTTTCTTAACTTCCTGAATTTGTATCCCTTGGTCGGCAAAGTTTTGGTATTTCCCGAAATAACATAAGTCTTATCATGGTCGACTGAGTTGGAAGCAGTTGCTAAATTGATCACGTTTGAAGCGAGACGTGAGGCTGTTTAGTGCACTTTTCGTTCTCTTAACGATTCCCCTGAGCTGAAGCCTTATAGTAAGATGAGACAGTGTTTTGTCCTCGGTGTAAAGTCCAGTCCAAGTTCTTCTCCCCGCCCAAAAGTATCATTTTGCTCAAGGAATATTGCTTCTAAATGATGCTGCATTTGGGAGAGATAAATGACCCGCAATTGTTTAAGTAACGACCCTGTGAACACAGTCTTGAATATCGAAGAATCGATAATTTCTTAAGACTGACTTATTTTCTCTTTGAACTTATGGCATAATGAAAATTATTTTCCATTGACTCAATACGTCCAGAAAACTATAGAAATACTGCTTCCTGCGGGCTTTGGTCTAACGGATTATGCTCGTATAATAGTGCCTTATTTTATATTTACAGATGGCGTTGGCTGGAAATAATAAGGAAGCAAGTTTTTAAAGAGACAATACAACATATGATTAGTAATAGTAATTGGAGTGACTGGAGTAAATTCAGGTATCAACTGCGCGACTGAGTGATTTCAAAATCGGACGAGCGTCCAGCAAGAAGCCAACTTAGGAACTTGATTATTCTCTAAATTGTGCAACACGACGTCCAATTACTAGTTAATAGAATTATTGACAAACTTGGAGATGAAAACGTCTCTAAAAAAAGTCAGAAGTGCTTTCCACAAGGTTTAAAAATGTGAGGAACATTAAGAAGGAAGCCATTGAAGCGCGCGCAATTGACGTGCGAGTATCGTAGGTATCCAATTACAAACAGTTGTAACTGGATACCTGTAATTGGACACCAACGTGATGACACGCTGATAACGCTAACAAGGAAGGTTGTCAGTTCCTTGACGATTGTGTCAACAAAGAAAATAGCTTTCAATATATGCAGAAACTACATAAGTATATGTTCCTCAACTACTGAAACGGAATACTGTATGTTCTTTTCCTGGAGTGCTGACAACCTGTAGACAAACAATGTAATTAGTTTGGGTGGGCACGGCGGAAAAACCGCTGCTCATGCGCATTAGATTTCGGTTCGTCTTCCCGCCTTTCCATTTTCAAAATGGCGGACGACGAATCAAAAACGAACACGTCATTGTCATGGCTTTTGGCAACATCTTGCT